ACATAAGCTCTGGGAAGATGGATGAAGTGAGAAGAGTCTTGTCTCAAACAAAGAAGCGGCAGGCGTTTTCAGCGGTAGCTGTGCGAGGAAGTGCTGAGAGACTGCATCCAGAGGCTGGGGATCTGCTATACTGGATGCTGAGTGACCCTATGGATAAAACTTCTCCTCTGCCTGCTAGGCATTTCAGGCAGGACATAAAGAACCTGTGGGAGCAGCATGGAAGGAGGGGTCATCCGGAAGGAATTGCTCAGCCTTGCAAAATATTCAGCAACTGCGCTTTTCCCAGTCTATTCAGTGCGCAATGCCCTGGACTGAGCTTGTGATCGGTGGTCTCTCTTTTACATTACCACAAATTTGGGGCATCTTTTCCTGTGGGGTACACTGTCGTTTGGTTGCTCTCTGTTTTGTTCCAGAGCCATTCAGATCTATACTTATAAATGAAACATGCCAGGGGCCGATCCTCTAGCGATGAGGTCAAAGGGCAGGATCAGGCCATGTCCACACCATTAGTCTTTCTTAGCATCCGGCAGACGTACCGGTTTCCTTTGAGACTTTGAACCAGGGTCTGCTCCCTACGTTCGGTCAAGTCTAGCTTTCTACAGTGTGGATGCAAATGAGCCTGCCCAAACTGGCTTTGCAGGCCAGGATTCCCGTTGCGTAGACCAGGAGGACATAGTTCATAAAAACGCAGATAAAACAACAACAAAAAAACCCAACAACCACAAAAAAAAGGAGAAAGGTTTGAAACTCCAGATGTACCCATCAGCAGTGATATTTTTTCCTTTTGGAAAGCTATCCTACAATAACACTTTCACTCTTCCAGCTCTTCCACCTCTTTTTTTGTACAAGGACAAACCAAATAGTTTTATTAAAAATATAGTTTAAGAAAACATGATTACAAAATAGTCCTGTGAAAGAAAAGGCAAATACATACGTATTGAGTGAAAATAAAGAACAGCAACAATTTATACCGCATAATCACTAGAACTGTAAAACAAAATGCTAACGCTGTTACTATTTTTTATTCTTAACAGCAAACATTCTCCTGCAGTGTTTTCAATTCACACAGTTTCTAAGATGAGGATCGTTAATGGAAGACCATTTTCCCAGTCACTGGAGCCCCAAAACGGGCTTCAGATGTCCACAGCTGTCAAATTTATCCTAGAGAATGAGATGCTTAAGAGGGTATCTATCTCAGTCCTCCTGGTGCAGAGTGACATGAGGGGTCGCGGCAGAGCTCAGCAGGCTGGTTTGGCAGATGGAGGGCAAAGCAAAAGGCAGCATACATGTGCACAGGGCACCTGTGGAGTGGCAGACAGGGCTGGGAACCTGAACTAGGGAGATGTCGAGGTGTTGAATATTCGGTGGGGGTGAGAAGAGCAAGAGAATGTAATATTTCCATATGATAACCTTTTTTTTTTTTTTTTTCATTTTTCTCTTCTATTCCTTTCTTTCTTTCTACTGTCAACCAAAAGTTAACGATCGCATGTAGTACTGGAGAGGACCCAAAACTGAATTTGTCTGGAGGCTGCCTGTGTACCTGAGTGTTCTAGTTGATTTTCTTCAAATGATCCAAGAATGACAAACAGCACGAACGGTGTTATAGGACTTCTCATAATATCATTCATTTCTCTCCAGCCAGGAAGGACATTCCTTTCCATTGGCTTCAAGTCCATTTTCCAAGTGCACGTTTAATTGCTACTCTAGTGGTCTCCAGGGAGTCCAGATAAAATCAGGTGAAACTGTTAGATTCTAATTTTACAGAAGCTTCCAAATCGAGACTTTCTGTAGACATAGATATAGGATGGGAGACGGTCCACAAACACTGAAAAGCTCATAGTCTGAACGCAGGACAAAGCAGGGAGGAATATTTTCCTCCTGCATCACTTCAGAGGAGACACGTTCCCAAGGCCTCCCAGAGAAGCTGTGTCAGAGCTGGGTATCAGCCCCAAAGCTCCCAAGTCCCCACCCAGTGTATTTGTCTCATTTTCCCTGGTTTAGTCATTTACAAGTGGCTCACATCAGCGTACATGATTCTGGCAGCAAAAGCAGCTTAGTTATGATTTGGTAGCAAAATATTTGGACAACAGAGCTTCCAAGTAGAAAACTTTCCAGGGCAGAAACCCGCTTCATCTCTCTCCGTCGCTGTCTCTGGGCTGCTTTGACGTCTCCCAGTCCCAGGTCTCAGAGAGGTTGTGCTCTAATCTTTTTCCATTTGAGCTCTGAAGATCGGTCCCTTCTTAATTGGCCCCGGCTTCCGCCTCAAATTGGGTAATGTCTGGGCCATTAATATTAATGGAAAGAGGAGATGCTTCTGTTTGTTCTGTTTTCAAGTGGTTTCTGGAGGCCATCTCCTGGATAGCCGAGCTTGAAACCACACTGCTTGAAACACAGACAACCCAGGCAGCACATACACACCTGCTCAGCCATAGAGTTTTTCCAGATGTTGACTTCCCCGTTAATGGTAATAACTGTATTACCTTAATTCCTGGACAACCCTTACAATCTTTTTTTATTACCCAAGCTGAAAGCCATTACCAGACGTAACTATATGTGATTGTGCTAAAATTGATTGTCAGACAAATGTTTTGAAACCTCTGGCTAGGTTTTCTGAGATGGGGAGATGTTTTTGCAGGGATATTCCTGAGTGACAGTGGACACAGTCGGATAACTCCCTCAAATCCAGATGTAGCCTCAGAAGATTTTACCGTACCCCGTCATTGCTTTTGCCCTTACTGCTGGAGGGGATCTCTCCCATCACTTAGCCAATGCAAAGGGCTGTGGGAAATGCCTCTTTATCTTGAGTGCAAAATCAGACAAACTGCTTCAGGAATCTTTAAATCACACAGGGGCACTGAGGCAGTGAGTATTAACCCTGTATTAACCTCCAACAGAAAGGTGGAAGATAAAACTGGGGAAGCAGTAGCATCTTGAACAGGTCCAGCTGTCTCCAGTGGCTATGTACGTCTACCCTTTCTCTTTGATTGCTAGTATATTTATTAAGTAGAGGTCTTCTGGTCTAGGGCATCCCATACACTTTATAGGGCAGAAATGCAGTATGTTCCTGGGGCTGAAACCTCAACTTGCGTTTCAGTAGTGCTGGGGCTGGGCTGACCTAAGAGCCTCGCCGGCTCGGTTTGTGTTTCCCTGTGCTAGCATGGGGTTCAGCTCCCCTGCCCGGTTGGCTAAGCAACTGAGGGAGACAACATGTGCAAAATGAAGGCACAGTGAGGAGAGTTAATTTGTCTAAGTGGTTTGCTGAAAGGCTGAGATTATTCCCACGCTTAGAGAAAAGCCGGGGTTTAGCGGCTTTACAGAACAGGGGCCAGGCTCTGTCAATTAGAAATACACGGGGCTAGCAGGCCTTCACATGCCATTTAGGCAGCACTGTGCTAGAGTCTGAGCAGGCACCGTGCCCATCTCTGCTCTTCCTCCCCAGGGGTGTCTGAACTCCAGCCCCTGACCCGTGAAATTCCCCGGCTCCTAAGCGCTGTGGATGGACAACGCACTTCCAGGGGTGTGCTTCGGTTTGGGAAAAATAGTCTGCCCATCCTCAAAGTTATTTATAGAAAGTGGTGGCTTAATAATTACATGGAATGATACCTTTGGGTCATATCCATTACCTATTTTTGACAAAAGGGGAAAATGGAAAAACCTTATTAACCGGAGCTAGTTAGTGTCAACGGCAATGAGGTGAAACAACACAGGATCCAATCACTCAGTTACTTGAAGCTGGTTAAAAAATGTCTTTGCATTGCCAGTGTATGGCACTGTGGAAAAAATGAATTGTTCTCTGACTTATTAACAGTTCAAATACTTGGGGACATGCAAAAATACACACACAAGCCTGTGAAGAAACTCCCAGTCTCCAGTTACCCAGGACAAATCATTCAAACTGCAGGCTTCTATCTCCCCAAAAGGACATATTTGTCTGTCACGCCTCATTCTGAAAAATATATTGGTAATGGCACTCAGTGGAGCCAGGAGGACATTTGGAAACGTGATCTGAGGTCCTGATGTCTTACATGACTTCGGATACCCTTGTAGTTTTCAAGCAAAAGAACAGAATGCATCCCATGTCCTAACCATATCTTGGCTCTGGTAATCACTACCTGCCTACGTGAATTCCTCCTGACTGGATACGATACTTTTAATTCCCTTTTTTTTTTTTTTTTTTTCCTTCTGTGCCAATTGACTATAATGAAAATACCCTCCAGGTTCCTCCTCAGAGATGCAGCTGCAAAGATTTGGGGCTCATTAGCGAGGTCCCTCAAACACGAGCTACTGGAAGATAAAACTAGTAAAAGTTTGTGATGTGTTTTTCCTTTTTTCCTCCCCTGCTCCAGCCCCTCCCTTATCATTTGGCAATAGGCGCTGCTGAAAGCAAAACACTGAAATAGAGGGGACTTTGATCCTACTCTCTGACGCTAGTCGTGCTTTTATAACTACCTCCTGCCAAGACTTAAGGCTCCATCACTGATCTAGTGCTTATCAAAGATTTTTCAAGTGTTATTCAGAAGGGGCTGCTGGAGCATTTTCTCACATTTCTCATTCTTGTGGCCGTCCTGATCACTTCCAAAACAGACAGAGTAGTGGGACTTTCAAGTCATAACTAGTTTTCCCTTCCCCAGAAGCCAGGGTGAGAGGAAGCCAGCCAGGCCCTGATCCTCCCACTCAGCTGGGAAATATTGCCTCTGCTAAGAGTGATCCAGAGTGTGGGAGGGGTACTAATAAGGAAGTTTTGTACTTATGCTACACATAAGTAGCAACAAGAAGAGTCAACAAACACCTGGGCAAGACATCATGAGGCCACGGGAAAAGACGCTGTCCTGGAGACACCGCCCATGCAGTCAATCATTTCTCATTTTTGTTTTTTTGTGCTCCCCATTCCATGCTCCCTACCTGAATTTGAACAGTTTCTTGTCTGCTCATGAACTGTGTGTATGCCAAACGGATTAAATGAAAGACTGCGGTGATAGGGTGGGGAGCAAGACCATTAAGCGTCTTTTTCAGCAGTATTAGACTATGTATGCCATTGAACAACATGTTTCAGTAGCACCTGCCTCTTCTTCCCTTTTACAACTTTTTCTTTCACGCCCATCTACACTTCTGTGTTGATGCTTGTGCGAGTTCAGCAGTGGGTCTTATTGCCTCAGGACGTTGTGGATGGAGAAAGTTTCTCATCCAAAATAGGGGTTAGGCGAGTTGATGGGAGAAAAAGATCTGTTTAACAAGAGCTGAGATTCTATAGAAGGAGAAAGCAGCTTCAACGAGATGCCAGAAGAATACATGGACAGTGGGGCGGAGAACGAGGAGGAAGGGAAAATGAAGGAAAACCTTTTTCTGAGCCCAGATATAATGTTTTTCATCAAAGGAACAATGGTGATGGGCACGCTTGAGTTAAAAGCCAGCAATAAAGGAATCAGTCATATAATAAAAGTAAATAAATGTTGTCTGGAAAATTCAAATGTGGTATTATTCTGTGGATGCTGTCAGCTCCCGGGCAGACCACAGACATGACTGGCCCTGCAAAGAGAGGGATGCAGAGTGACAGCACCACGTCCCTGCCAGATGATCACACAGGAGTAGTCTGTGAATTCATGTCAGCATAGGAATGTACTTGGAAAGAGGTCTGGCCGCTCAGTTCCATGCCAATCTATTTAAAAAGGCAGTCAATGGGCTGTTTTTCTTACCCTCGTTGTTCCTTGTGTTTTCTTTTCATGTCTGAAGTGTTTATTAGGTTTGAGGGCTGTACAAATGAAAACAGACAAACAGCCATCAGTTGGCAGCAGGGTTGTTTACCCAAGTAGAGGCTATTTTGGAGATCCACCATTCTGTCTTTCACCACTGCTTGGAATACAGATGTGCAGGAGCTGAACTGCACGCTCCATTTTTAACTTGTCCTCTCAGTCCTGGGGGATGGTGCAGGGAGGGTTATTTGCACAGGTGAAACACTGAGGCTTTGGAGAGCTGCAGAAGGCCTAACAGATATCATCCCACTCTCTGACCACAGAGAAGGGCATGGGTAGGGCTAGGCATGATGGGAGATGCTCTTTGCATATTTCTAAATTCTGTTAGCAGAAAAAAAAAAGAGTAGGGTATTGTGTGACTTAAGGGGAACTGAGGATGGGGGTGACCTGCTCTGATGTTGCTGGTCAAGTGGCTTGTGGGGGAAGGAAGGTCTTTATCCTTGGGTGGAATTTGCAGTGCAAAGTGGCATTGGAAATATCCACCCCTGCCTCTCTCCTGCTTCCACTACAATTTCCTGCTCCTCTCTCTTAGGCTCCACAAGCTCTGCTCTGCCCCAGCACTTGGTTGCAAAGTGGAAGAAGAACAGGAGAATGCAAAGGGAAATACAACCCTGCTCCAAGCTTCCTTCTCCCCTCCCTAAATGCTGGAGGGATGACTGTTCAATTATCATCCACACCTGTAGGTAGGTAAAAGGAGATAAAGGCAGAGATTTGCTCTACCTCTGTTGTCTCTGTCACTACGTCCTTGGGCAAGCTTCCTTGGCCCTCGCTGTCTCCTTTTCCCCTCCAACCCTTTTTCTCTTTTCCGTATTCAAACTGTTAACTTTGACAGCCTTTAATTCACTGTGGGCTGCCCCAAGAGAAGTTTGTGCCTGAAGAGCATCTTGTGTGCAGAGGATGTGTACAGTATCTCTGAGAGGGGCCACCCTCCACAGCTAACTGCAGTGGACAGCTATGCAACTCCTGGACGTAGAATCCCTAATTTGAAGTGAAGGGAGCGAACAGTGGGAGAGGAAGAAATGAGAACTCCATTTCTGGTCCCTGCACACCTGCTGGAGCAAGAAAGTTTCTTCAACATGCAGGAGTTGGAGGTGAAGCTAGAATGCTGTATTTTTTCATTTATGTGCCTTTCTGGTGGCACTGGTGTCCTGCCTGGTTCATTCTTCCTTCCCTTGGCTCCTAAAAATCTCTTCTAGATGACACATGAGAAATGCTAGGGTTTTCTAAAGACAAATGGCCGGAAGCTATTTGCACCTCAAACCAGCCCTAACATAAATCTCCAGCGATACGATGGATCTTACAAAGAGCTGGCAAAAAATCAGAAGAGAAACATGCTAGCCATGGGCACTACTGAGTAGTAGTAGTAGTAGCACCCAAGGGCAAAATAATCAGCATCTAAAATCTGGGGGTTTTAGTACTATCTGCTGACATACGGAAGGCAGGCATCATGTACACATTTGCTTTTTGTGTCTTTATGGAGCCCCGAGGGAACACAGCCATACAACTATGAAATGCAAGAAGAGGTTCATAAAACGTCTTCCCCAGCCCTCACGAAGGAGCAGGGATTTCGCTGGGAATATCTCTTTTTGGAGCTCAGGCCAGGCCAGGTAAAAAACCTTTGAATTCACCTTTATGCGATGTCGTTTTTAAGAGAGTCACTCTGCTGAGTGTAACCACAGAGTAAGGAGAAAGTTTACCCAGCCTGGAAGGGGAGGGAAGGCTCCGAGCTGGCTCTGAAGAGCAGGTACTGTTCATCCCCGTGCAGGCCTCGATTTACCTCATGTTGTGAGAAGAGGCGAGTGGTTTGAGGTGAGTGTGGAGAAAGGCAGGCAGGCTGCACCAGGGCTGGGGGCACACATAGCCCTTTTGATTCCTGGAAAATGAAATAAGGAGGAAAGATCCACAAAGCTGAAGGTGGACAAGTAAGTGTGAATTAGTGCCTTTGCTCCAGGAGGAGGTCACCTAGGCGAGAGGTCGCGCAGCGCTGAGGCTTTGCAGCAGCGCCGGTGATGACTCCTGACAGGCGGTGGTAGGTCGAGAGGGTCTGTACCTGCCTGGAAAGCACTAGTGATTTTTCTGGCTTGCAGGGGAGAGAGAAGGTAGGGCATGAAATGATGTAGAAGAGCATGGCTTTTGCAAGGAGGAGGGTTTGGTGGGTGGGTGCTAGCACAACAGCGCAGCAGCGTGAGCATGCCTTTGCACAGACCGTGCTGGGGATGCACAACCCCAGCGAAAACAAAAAGGGGCAACAGGTTTGCATAGTCCCCTGATTTTTACAAAGAAAAGCTTCAGGCCTGGCCAGGTTACAAATTCCTTAGATTTACCCTTTTGTGATGCTATTTTAAGAGAATCAATCTGCTGACCATAACCGGATGACTTCCTTATGGAGTTGCTTGAAAAAGAATTTGACTGCTGCAGGTGAGATCTGTCCCGCTTCCCTCTGGATCTAGTGGTGATGGAGCTAGTGACCTCACCCAAAAATTAAGGCCACACTTTCCATTATTCCCCACTTCACCTGTAGTTGATAATGCATCTGTATAGGTCTATCTGTATTGCTGTACATAACATCAGGTCAGGATTAAAGCTAACCACTTTACCCTAACAACGTTACCTAGGACTCCACATCCCTCCCCACTGAGCATAGCCACTTCAGAGGAAGCTGCCAATGTGCTGTGTTTGCTAGATGCACTGGCCATGCCGGTTTTGTCTACTTGTGCCTTTTGGCAGCATTTGAACCCCTGGGTAATGAAGAGTTCATTTATTCAGGTCACATATGTAATTCAGACACCAACCCACGTGTGACTGTGACCTCAGCTTGTGGCTCCATGACTCTTGGGGTCAGCTGTGGCCCAAGGCCTGTCCTCCTCCCTGGGTACATTGGCTCCAGATGAAACTTCTGTTACTCCCAGGGGAATTTTTATCTGAGTAACAGGCCAAACCCAGGGAAGGACTTCGCAGCAAAAAATACCAATTACTCTCCTTCAGAGAGCGTGAATAAATATCATGTATGTCAACACCTATTGCACCCCTCCCCATCTTTGCACAAATGGCACAAAAAGCAACAATAACTTGTCAGAAAGGGTAATAGATACACCTCTTAATTAGTGAGAGTGAACTGATAGCTCTGTGCCACTCCTAACAATCTAGATTAGAAAGTAAACATTCTTGCAAAGATGCAGTGATCCCCCATGTAAATAACAGGACTGAGGGAGACAGCAATATAGGAGTCTAAGTTCATATATAGAAACTTGTCCAAGCTACAATGCGTGTCATCTCCCACTGGTGATGGGATGCCAGGCATGCTATAATGACCATGGATGGATGCCCCTTTTTTTTCATATCTCCTGTGAAAATCAAGACCTCCAGGGTAAGGAGGGAACAGGGGTGATGGGACTGGACTTGGACAGAGCTGTCCCACCTCCTAACTGAATCCAAACTTCACAGACACTGAACCATGAAAACCCCTTCGCTTGGAGAGCTCTACTCAAGCTGTGGTTAACCCCATTTTGTCAGGGAGAAAGGCTGGTAGAACATGTCCTATTTCACATAGTCCAAAAGTAATCCCATGCAGTGGCCAGCTATCCTCCTGCAGACCTTCCACCTTAAGTACTTACCTAGATCCCATGCACACTCTGCCTTAACTTGACTTATCTTTATTGAATGATAACTGAAAGAAATGCTCACTCTCTTCCTCTGTTTGCTAGAAGAGAAAAAGGCTGATTCAGCTAAGTAAATAACAGTCCTGGAAAAATGTAAAAGCAGCACTGAGTAAGTGGCTTTTCAAGGATCTCCAGGTTACGTCTGCGCTGCTAGAGACACCAACTGTAAGGAATAGTCCTTCGTTCTGAGCGATGCTGAACGGCTCCCTTTCCCCCCTTTTCAAGGCTAGCCCTTTTTATAGCAGGTTGGCTGTGTTTAATCTCCGTAGCACTTGGCCTTGGCTTTTGCAGTTCACTATACAGTAATTTTAAGACATTATTTGAGATTTTTTGAGGATCATGTCACAGGCCTCTAGAGCAGCGTATTTCTTGCATGAAGCTGAGCATCTACACAGCGTGACATGGTTATGATTGTGATCACATTGCGGCATACAGTCTAGTTGGAGGCCTGTAGCTAGTGGTGTCCCTGAGGTGTCAATACTGGGTCCAGTATTGTTTAACTTATTCATCAGTGACCTGGATGAAGGGATAGAGTGCACCCTCAGCAAGTTTGCCGATGATACAAAACTAGGAGGAGTGGCTGATACACCAGAAGACTGTGCTGCCGTTCAAGGGGACCTGGACAGGCTGGAGAGTTGGGCGGAGAGGAATCTCATGACATTCAACAAAGGCAAGTGCAGGGTCTTGCACCCGAGGAAGAATAACCCCATGCAGCAGTACAGGCTGGGGGTTGACCTGCTGGAAAGCAGCTCTGCCGAGAAGGACCTGGGAGTGCTGGTGGACAACAAGATAAGCATGAGCCAGCAATGTGCCCTTGTGACCAAGAGGACCAATGGTCTCCTGGGGTGCATTAGGCAGAGTGTTGCTAGCAGGTCGAGGGAGGCGATTCTACCCCTCTCCTCAGCCCTGGTGAGGCCCCATCTGGAGTGCTGTGTCCAGTTCTGGGCTCCCCAGTACAAGAGAGAGACATGGAGCTCCTGGAACGAGTCTAGCGAAGGGCTCCTAAACTGGTGAAGGGACTGTAGCATCTCTGCTATGAGGAGAGGCTGAGGGAGCTGGGCCTGTTCAGCCTGGAGAAGAGAAGGCTCAGGGGGAAATCTCCTCAATGTGTATAAGTATCTGAAGGGAAAGTGTCAAGAGGATGGGGCCAGATTCTTCTCCATGGTGCCCAGCGACAAGACCAGAGGCAACAGGCACAAACTGAAACACACGAGGTTCCATCTGAACGTGACGACAAACTTCTTTCCTGTGAGGGTGACAAAGTACTGGCACAGGTTGCCCAGAGAGGTGGTGGAGTCTCCGTCCCTGGAGATATTCAAAAGCCATCTGGACACAATCCTGAGTTCCTGGGTAATGTGTTCTAGGAGACCCTGCTGGAGAAGGGAGGTTGGACTAGATGATCTCCAGAGGTCCCTTCCAAGCTCAACCACTCTGTGATTCTGTGATGTAGGATGGTCTTCATGGAAGTGTTCAAAGGTGAAAAACAGTACTCAGGTTTCCTCTTAAAGGGAGCTGGTGGATTCAAGCCACAAGAGAGCCTGGAAATTAATTTACATCTATGCTGTATGGACGACCTGAGGACCAGGATCCAGATGAATTAAAGTACTGAGCTACTTGGCACCTTACATGCTTCCACAAGGACCCTGTTCCTGCGAAACACCAGATACCCAGCTGCTGACAAGCAGTCTGAGCTTCCTGCTTCTTAGGCTGCAGTGGCTGGCTACATCTGTAATAGTAAATTAAATATTCCTGGAATCATTCTCTGGCCTGGAGAGGCCAACAGGCATGGAGAAGCACGTGCATGCTGTTAAATTCCATTGCCTTCCGAAACAGGACAGCCACATCCAAAGTGTCTGTGGGGAATGGCTCCTGGCCCTGCTATCCCCAACCGTTGCTCAGGAACTGTCTAGGAAAGTGCCGAGCAGCCCGGGACAAAAAGGACACCAGAGACTATGCTGACAGCTGTATAGACAACCAAAAATCAGTGCTCAGGTATGTTCCCTGTTTCGTTCACCAGTACAGAT